ATAAATCTATTAATATCTGAACCCGCACAGGTATTTTAGTATCATCAGTTTTATATGATTTCGGACAACTTATTTTTAAAATTTGGCTTAAGTAATAACTGCAGTTGAAGATATGGCCTCACTTTTAGAGTTGAATGCTTTAGTATGTATAATTGTCAGATTTTTTATATAGGTTTGGTTTATAATATTAAGCTAATGTTACATAAACCTTGCAGAACGTGGATATAGAATCTTGGATCAATGATGCAGAAAACAATTTAAATATGTTAAAGGGGAATGTAGCTCATGTATGTTTATTTTTTCTTATGATGCTATATTTTTTTTGTCTTATTTTACTAACAAAAGTTTTAGGTCGTAGCAAACGCAAATACGGAGGACGAGAAACTTCTATGGCAAAGACTGGAGAATGATTTAAAGACTGTTGAATTGAATAAACTACCATATAATCACCCACTTTGCTCTGGTATATTAGATATCGAGTCATCACCTATCTCTGATCTGCCAGAAACTCTTCGTGATGTTTTTGAAAAAAATACCAAACTAAAATTTTGTATGGATAACAATGAAATGTTATTGCAAACTTGCAAAGAGTATATTCAAGAGGTAAGTATTAGAGTAGAGGAACCACTATTGGAAGCTCCTGATCCTCTATTCGGCCAATGGATAGAGAATTCTGAAAAGTTGAAAAATATAACGAAACGATTATTGGAAACATTATAAGTTTATTAATGATTGTATTACTTGGCTGGTAATATAATAAAAATAATATAATTTTTAGGTATCAGGTTTGGATTTCGCCAAAATATAAGTCGTATGTTTTAAACCAGATGGCTATAAATAAGGGATCATATGTTTGCGAAGTTTTAGCACTGTTATTTAGCATTGTCTTAGATGATTTATTAGTAAAAGATGAGACATGGAGGATATGGTAAGTAAATCAGTTTTCGTTTCGGATGATATTAAAAGGTGCCAACTTTATTTCTTAAAAATTAGAGGTGATATGATGAGTTGGCCCGATACCATACAAAAAGGTGATTCACGTATCGCATGTAGACCAGATCTTATATTTATTGCATATTTAAATGATCAAAGAATTGATCTTTTAAATATGGAGACTGGTCGCCCCAATTCCCCTAAACGAAAACAGAAACAAGATCATTTAAAGTTAGCGCGACTTGCAAAAAATTTGATAGATTTTGCAAGAACCCATCTTAAGCAATACATTAAAAAGGGAATATTAAGTAATTTGTTATCAATATTTTCTATCAATGTTGCTGGTATGTTGGAGCAAAAAAAATGACTGCTTATTAGTCAAATCTAACAAGTAATATTTTTAGGTGATAATTT